CAGAGGAGAGGGAGAGGGGCCAGGTTGAAAATTATCAAGAAGGAATGATCAGGCAGCGGACATTTTAACTTCAAAAGTGAGGCTGCTTTAGCAATCTGAAAGGACCAGCTTTTCTCTTCTAAAAGGGTGCCATATGCTATAGGGATTGTCCAGAGAGGCAGCTTTTAAATCGAGACAACAACAAAAAATCTCCTCCCACTGGAAGAAAAATCACAAATTTAAAAAACAATTATGTATTGATGGCAACATACGAGTAATACTTGCCCTGCACATGGGGGTTCAGTCTGTGGCTGCTTGTAGGGGAATTAGTTGAAACTTGGAGCTAGGAGGAGTCTTTGGTCACTGGCCAAAGAGGCTCAGCCAAGAGGCCTTTGTGAGCTGGGATTAGGGAGTCAGTAGCTAACTGACTTATTTACTAACTCACATTTCTTGGAATTAATTTACCCATTTTTTCCCCATTCCTTTTATTGTGTATCTGCCATTTGGAAACAATGGAGTTCATCTATGGAATGAACATCCAGATGTCTGAATGCCACAGAACCTGTTTTCAAACAAGCTTGCAACCAAGTTTAGGGACAAAGTTGTGTGGCTGGCTCTCTAGATAAAAAGGACCAGAGCTGTCATAGGGTGTAGTAGGCCCCATGAGTCCAGGCTAGGGCAAGGGATGCTGGGGCGAGGGATGCTGGGGCGAGGGATGCTGGGGCGAGGGATGCTGGGGAGAGGGATGCTGGGGAGAGGGATGCTGGGGAGAGGGATGCTGGGGAGAGGGATGCTGGGGAGAGGGATGCTGGGGAGAGGGATGCTGGGGCGAGGGATGCTGGGGCTGACCACACAGGACCCACCTGTCTCCTGTGAGCTTGTATCTCTCTGAGAGTCCTAAGAGACTGCCGCTGGCCCGCTCAGCTGCCAGCAGCATTATGGTCTCGCTGGCCTGGGAGGATGACGGCAGGCTGCACTCAGGCTGTGGGGGCGAAATGCAAGTCAGGGGGCTCTGCTGTCAGCCGAGCATCTGTGCTCTTCCTGGCAGAGCCCAACTTCAGTTTCACAGGGCAGGCCTAAGGACCTGCTCTGTGAGCATTAAGTCACAATATTGCTGGGCCAGTCATGGGGGCCTCTAGCAACAGGACAGCTTCTCTGATGTGCTGTGGAGGCTGTGCTCTCCAGAGGGTGCGATACGGACCTTAGAGCAGCTGATATCTAATAGTGGTGATCACCAAAACACACACCTTAATGAAAGCGGGAAAAGCTTTCGTCTTTAAGAGCTCACATTTGGAGCAATCATCTACCTGTGCTTCTGCACCAGGCAGGTCCCGGAAGACCTCATGCCTCGAGGGAGCTCAGTGTCGTGTTGTGTACTTGCAATCCCAGCACTTGGGAGGCTAAGGCAGGAGATGAGCAGAACGTATGAGAGCAACCTGGGCTACATCATGAATTCCAGCCCAGCCTAAGCAACAGAGGAAGACCTGTCTCAACAATGGTGTGCACACACTATACAAGTAAATAAATAATAAGTAAATATAAAAAGACAATAGCTCAGTGACAGAGCAGGTAGAACACTTGTCTAGCATCGAGCACACTGGAGACCCTGCTTCTACCCACAAGAGGGGAAGCTGTGGGAGCTGAGGCAGGAGGATCTTGAGTTTGAGGCCAGCCTGAGCTATGTCGTGGGATCCTATCTTTACAAAAATGTAAAAAGAATAAATCTATAAATACACATGTAAACTATGTTCAAATTTACTGAAATTACCTCTCATATTAAGAATCATTCAGTTGTATCCCACTGTGATAAGGAAATGATGTCTAAATGAGGAGATGTGCCCATGATAGAACACAATTTTTTAAAATACCAACAACATTGTATTCAATAACATAGATACTTGTCCCTAAGATCCATGGGAATTGGTTCCAGGATCCACCATCTAATATCAAAATCCACTCTGTTCAAGTCCCTTATTCAAAAGGCATAGCTTTTGCACACGCCTCGCATAACACAAGACTGTACAAACAGCCGCTCTACTGTATTGTTCAGGGAACAACAACAAGGGAACAATACTTTTCTGATCCAAGGTGTTGAGTGGATCCATGGACCTGCATATATGAAAGGCCAAGTGTCCATTTGCTTATGTGAACATTCTGTGTGTATGAGTATGTACATGGAAATACACTTCTCTGTTTATTTCTCTGCAGACGTTGGGGGGCGTCCCCACTTACTGTTGTTTCAATGGAGGAGCTGGGTATCTTGGGCACCAGGCAGTGAGTGAACTGGATCCTCGGGTCTTTGGTGGTGATAGACAGACCTTTCTGCAAAATTTTCACCAAGCGGATCCAGAACTGAAACACAGCCTGTGGATGTTTCTCGTGGAGCCTCAGGTAGTAAATCTTTTCTGTCACTGTCCTCACCCGAAGGATGCGCTGGGTCCGGTCATAGATTTGTAGCTCCACATACTTCAGGGGAAGGATCCTGGGCGTAATCAGGAAACGTGAGTGTTGGTGCCTCCTGCTGGAGGGTGCTGGCAGGAGACAGCTCCTGTTCTAAGAGTGGGCACTGATTGCCCTCTGATTGTTTGCAGGGTCTTTGTTCCTTAGTAAAGACTGGAACAGCAGTGTCTGCCTAAATGCCAACACTTGATCCCAACACAGAACAAGGAACACAGGCTACATGACTTTGGCTCAAAAAAATCAAATAAAAATAATCTGCCCACATCAATCACCACTAGTGCTATTGCTGCATAATATCTTAGTTCTCATAAAACTCTTCGATGAGGGAAAGATAAATATTATTAATTATGTATTTCAGATTTTGTAACGGAAGCTTGGAGAAGTTTGGTGAGTGAACGGGGAGGTAACTCAGTAAATAAAAGTACTTGTGCGGGCATGAGGACTGAGTTTGAATCCCCAGCACTCATGTTTAAAAGGAGAAAGGTCAGGCGTTGTCACATGGGTCTACCACCTCAGGGTTAGATGCTGAAACAGGCAGATCCTGAGAGCTCCCTGCCAGCCAGCCTGGCCACGCCAGTGAGTTACCGCTTCAGTGAGAGAGCATCTCATGGGACCATGGCAGAATATGACAGAGCAGGACATCCAGCACAGCCTCTGGCCTTGCACTCTGACACGAACACACACATGCTTGCACATATCCAACATCACACACGCACACGCACACGCACATCGGGCTAGGCACAGTGGTCACCCTAGCACTTGGGAGGCTACAGCAGGAGGATAGGCATTTAAAGCCACCCTTAGCTACCCAGTGTGAGGCAAGCATTAACTACAGGAGAACATGTCTCAAAAAACAAAACCCAAATTAAAAAGCTCAAGGTTTGCTCAAGTTGAAATCTCCGTAAGTGGGAATTAGAACAAAGATTTCTTAACTCATTTCTAAGGTTTTCCCTCCATCTTTGATTCCTTGAATCGAAGAGTCAGAAAGGTGGATGTCTCGTATATATATGTTGATGTCTCTCATATATTGAGGCTTTATGTTTTTCTATTCTTTCCTTTGATCCTCTATCTCCATCTCCCAAGTTCTGGGATGAAAGT